TGGCATCTGAAAATAATATATCCTTTGCAGAATTTATTATAACTACCCTAGCTTTAAGTTATTTGCTCTAACATTCAAAATCAGTTTTAGGTCGTTGATGTTGCGCTTCAAAGAAATTGTTGAGGTCAATCAGATAAATTCCCTTCAATCCTTAGATATTGATTGACCAATATCACATTACGCTGGTAATGGATGAAGATGACAGATAGATAGGGCATATACAATTATGTGCATTAAAATTCATATCAAGATCATTACAATCGGTTAATCATTTCTTAAGGTATGACAATACTATACCCAACTGCTAAAGAAACGCATTACTAAAAAAACCCGCACAATTAATGTTTAATACTTTAGCATGATCCACTTTGGTCATTACTAATAGATTTGTTAAATTCAACATTTTAGCTTTTATCACCTACAAAAATATCTTTCAAGCTCATATAGTTTCCAAGATATAACCCTTCAAACTTATCCGGCATGTGCGTTTCTTTTGTTGTTGAGTATACCTTATATCCTACATTGTTGGTGACCATTTTGAATATTGAGATAAATAGGATCCCAAGGATAAAATTAACCATTCCAATAGTTGTATCATGTTAAAATTAGTTAGATAAGACACCTCATCTGTTCTTGTAGCCCATCTAGTATTCGAGATATGATATGTTCTGTTTTTCAAGATGGCAGCCGGCGGCCATCATGGAATTCAAGGTCAGAATTGCTTCTAATGTAAATAATAACGATTCCAATGGATTTATCATGTTCAAATTAGTGGAATTAGACACCTTATATGTGTCTGTGGCTGATATTCTTCCAGAGATATACTATTTCATGCTATTAAAAATGGCGCCGACGGCCATTTTGAATTTTGCGTTCTGGCAGAGTTAGCCGTCATTTTCCAGAGGGTCATGGGGGCTATTTTTTTAGTTAAACATGTCAGTTAAACAGGTCCATCGTAAAAAAAAGGTAGGAACAAAGTGGTCACGGATTCCAGGGATATGACTCTACTATAATGAAAACGAGCAAAAGTAAAACAAGTCTCTCGTCGCGCGCTATAACGGGGTGTTTGCGGTATTGTCCTCGCTTGTGATGATAAGCTAGTCGATAGTCAAAAGTTTAACATCACCATATATTGTCAGTGAGTTGATAATCGTTTGTTGATTATTAAGGTGAGACAGGTGTAGCCAATGTGCAACAATGAAAAAAACAATGAAATTGATAGCAACCATATTCGTTCGGTTTTCGATCTCCACCTGTTGCCATGTAGGCTACCACACCACAGAATTAATATTTAACGATATTGAACTGTATTATGTTCAATAAACGAAGTAACAAATAAATTTCATATGATCTATATAAACAGCGCTGCGATGAAGATGTGAGTCGTAATTAACTACAATGCCTGTTTAATATATCTGTTCCCGTTTGGATTCCGGTTTGGAATAGGTCCCCAATAAACCATGTTTGTGTCCAAGGGCGTAAGTTTCGGCCCTCGGATGGTAGCTCAGGGTGATGACGGTGGACAAAACTCAGGGGTGAAGTTTAGACGACAGCAGCCATATTTATTGTTGATGGTTGAAATGAGTCGAAAGGTACATGTTGATAATAACGTGACAGAACGCACACCGAGACCTAGTGGCCAATGTTCCCGGATGGGAGAACCGTTCTGTCACCTACCTTCTGGCTGTCTCCCTGACTTACCATGTCAGTCGGGTTTTGTAGAGCGAGGTATTACATAACGTGTGGCAAGGTCATTGTCCGACGTGTATGTATATACGTAAGATCCGGCGACGTTAGGAGGTGTTGATTAAAATTATAGATAGCGCTGGAGATTAAGGGTCCTGCCCGGAGGGGCTTATGATAAGAGGGGAACGCCGAATGTTTGCTGAATATATTAAACAGACAAAGGGCATAGAATTTCGGTGCACTTGGAAACATATTGAACCAGTTAGGTATTTAGATAAATGAAATGTTAAATAAAAGTATTGAAATGGTTTGCACTATTTAAGTAAAAGTATTGAAATGGTTTGCACTATAACAATACCCCTGAACGTCGTGGAGCTTTTGTCCTCAAAAGCTTTTTTAAAATAATGACAATATGGAGTACAAGTACAAGTACAGATCAATGCAAATGATATCGACAGGTTGACAAGTAGCTTCATGCACTACACTTGATGATGAATGCTCGCGGTCGCCCTTGCAGTCGGAATACCAGACTGCTAGATCACAGGTATCACATGGCAATAAAGATTGTTGAAGTAAAGTACACTGATGACGTAGGTACAAAAACATAACGTGCGTAAAGCGTTGTCGTTTGCATATGAAAGAAATATTTTCATGATAACAGTAAGATCTTTCAAATTGGGAGTCTTATATTGTGAGCCTAGACTCGACAACAAGTAATTTAACAATAAGTATGACGTCATTATATGTATATGTCAGTTACACTGAAGAGCTGTCATGAGACAGCGAAAGTACTATGTATGAAACTGATATAAAGAAGATGATGGACTAACGTGGACTTTATTATTTTATTATATATTACATGTACACCGAGTGAACATTTACCTCATTTTTGTATATATATATATATATATATATATATATATATATATATATATAGAGAGAGAGAGAGAGAGAGAGAGAGAGAGAGTGATTTAAACAATATTCCATTACAAGATAGATGCAGTCAATGACTTGTCACATTGAATATATAGTTGACAACCATATATGAATTGATAGCCACTGGTTTGTACCTTCCTAACAGGATTGTTCTTATAGATAAGGCACAAAAAGCGAAATGTGAATGACAATGGACTGGGAACTTCAAGTATTTTGTGCAAAGACATTTCATGCAGGAACTGTAAACATTTACATTTACGGCATTGTTGCGTTACTGATGTATTTATACACTGTATAATTTCAATGCCGTAAATTCTTAACCAAATGATAGACGTACCATGGCCAATATCCGCATGAAACGCTATTTACGTGAGATTACCCGCGGGTATTTACCACTATGTACTCTTTCTCATGCTCTGTAATGTATGGCTTTATCTCTCACTTGGCATATCAATATTTAATGTACAAGTGAACTAATCTACTAATATCTATAAAAACACACATACAATTAACATTCAAGTTGCTTTGCGGTATAATGAATGACATATAACTTATTCTTAAATATTTCAAACCATGGTAAAAATAGAGTTGCTTGCATAGGATATCATAAAAGTTGAAGGCAAGGAAAATTTAACAAGAAAATAATGTCATTTACCTTAAAACAGAGCGAAGGCCTCTGAGTCCCTTTAAGTCTTTATTCGTGGCAGAGTGAAGTATTCCGTAGAATGTATTAGTTACCTAATATTGAAGCTATGATTTAAATCTGCCACATACGCGGTGTATTAATGCATTTATATTGCGCTAGATTCCATTCACCAAGTGGATGCTCATAGCGCTACACTATTATTACCCCGGTCAATGGATCAGTGAGCTCTCGATTTTCATTCTCAGCTCCCTATCTACAGAAATATATTTAGGTTTGGTAAGTTGTAAGATAAACTACTGAGAAAAATACAAAACGTATAATTGAAATATGACCTCCATAATTAATGATAGTAAATTTAGAACTATGACACATTCATCCTCGAGAAACTGCAGCTCAGATTCTGTAAATCCATGACTGAAGGATTTGCAAATCACTTTCAAGTAAGGCCGGTGCACCAATACACGTACAATAACAGCAGCCGTAGTGAATAGGTAACCATGCCCATAAACTGACATGCATGGCTGGCTCCTTGTTGCGTCGGTATGTCGCTGACATTTTCGTTTCAATGTTTCATATATAGTGCATCCCGCTTCTCTAATACAGTAAACCTCTCATTCCTTTAGATTGTCGTTTTTATACACAACAAGAGTTTGCCACTAACGTGGCTATATCCCCCGCCCCTGTTGCAGAATTTATGACATAATTAAATCTAAACAAACCCTAACCTTTTTTAACCGAGGTGGAACTTGTCATGGAAATTGTAAAAAAAAAGATGAGTTTGGAACCTAAGTCAATCTTGTTGACATGGAAACGTAAAAAATAAATATTTCTAAAATTTCTAAATAGCAAAAGGCACCAGTTCAGCATGTACCTGACAGACCTGCAAAGTTTGATGAAAAAATATTGAATGGTTTATGTGTTATGCTCCGGAAACGAACCCTACCCTCACAGAACCTAAGTCCATCTAATTGCCATGGAAACGTAAAAAATAAAAATTTCTAAAATTTCTAAATAGCAAAAGGCACCAGTTCAGCATGTACCTGACAGACCTGCAAAGTTTGATGACAAAATATTGAATGGTTTATGAGTTATGCTCCGGAAACGAAACGTGACGGACGGACGGACGGACGGAGCCCGTTTCTATATCCCCCGCCAACCATCGGGGCCGACGAAATCTCATGCTGAAACTCGTGGTTGCGGCGACGTGCCAAGTGAGGTATGGCGTGTTATCTCAAGATTTGACCGATGTTCTGGAAGACCACAGGGCCGACCCTCTGTGCAAATCTTGAGACCACACATCATACCTTATTTGGCACGTCGCCTCAACCACGAGTTTCAGCATGATAACGCCTGTGCCCACAGTGCGAGAACAACAACAGACTTTCTCCAGCGGAATGGCATCAGAACCATGCAGTGGTCTGCCCTCAGTCCCGATTTAAATCCAATTGAGCACCTGTGGGACGAGATTCAAAGACGGCTGAATGACGTCCGACCAATGTCGACAACTGCAGCTGAACTGCGTCAGGCGTTCCTCAGAGTGTGGGCTCAAGTGCCTATGGCCTTTATCAACCGCCTCATTTATTCCATGCATCGACGCATCAATGCACATGGCGGACACACGAGATACTGACTGGTGATGCCATTTCCTCAGAGACTAGGGTTGTGTTTAATATGTCTCAAAGTATGTTTATATATATATATATATATATATATATATATATATATATATATATATATATATATATATATATATATACTGCCCGCAAAAGAAACCTCACCATGGATAGATATATTTCCAGTATAAGCATGCCTAGCATATGGATGTCAAGGCCGCAATAAATTAATTGTTAGAATCTGATTTAAAAAACATGGGAGACGTGACGCATTTTATTTTTAACCATTTTATTGTTTTCTTATTGAACTTTTTAAGGCATCTGTTTATCAGGTGGGAGAGGGTGAAAATCTATTCATTAATTTTGTATGGCCTTAAGTAGTGAAAAGAAAAACATCGGACAATCTCACATGAGGCGAATGCTACAAATTGGTATTTGAGAATTTTGTTTTAATGAAAATGTTAACCCGTATAAAATTGCCTCATGGAGGAAATCACTGGCCTGTGATTATTTCTGTAACTGGCAGTGCAGCCGCGAATAGCTGCAATACTGCTGATGTGGCTTTAAGCAATATTTACTCTCGCACTGACTGTGATATTTTGTTTCCAGCTTCTTGTGTTACATTATATTGAGCATTTTGAGGGTTTTGATTTAAAGTACATAGTAAACAGTACCAAAGGGAGAGGATTCTACTCTACTCTACATAGGACTTTGTGTATGTAAATTACATAGCATTTTCAAGCTCAAGTTATAAGTTTGCTAAATGCTTCTTGGAGAATGAAGAAAATGAAAGAGGCATGACCACAGGACTACTAACGTGCGCACGCGCCTTGACCTTTTGATATTACGCATGCGCACGTTACTCTAAAACACGAGAACGCGAGATCGCGAAAAAATGAAACGTCGCATTCTCGCGAATTTGTGTTTTTGTGGCCAAATTTGCCAAGTCGAAATTGCAAGGTTTTTCATCATCTCCAAATGTCGCATTCTCGACTTTTGACAAAAAGTTCTATGTATCAAACACGCGAGAATGCGAGATCTCGAGAACGCGAGATTTTGGCCAAATATCACGTTTTCGCGATCTCGCATTCTCGTGTTTTTGGCATTTTTAGCTCGTTTCCAAACGTCGAAATTGAGAGAATGTCCATTACAGTATTCCATAGTATATCTATTCATTGGTTATAAAAACATTGAAATAATCAGCATGTATGTAGTGTTCTCGTGGACCTAACATATATAATATATAAGCAAGCATTATAAAATAACAATGCGCTCATAAACATGTTATAACGTTTCATAACGTATCATATACATGTTTATAACGTGTTGAGAACGCAAGATAAAGGATTCATGAATAGAAACAAATGTAATTTGCCTTCACATAAGTAATTAATGAAGGTTTACGGGGAATCTACCTTCGAACAGTAGTATGGCTCAGTCCTCACCATATTTCTAGTCATAGACTTTACTACTTTGATCCCTGTCATAGAGGAAGAACTCTCCAATGCGTGTATTATTCCTCTCGAGAATCTCCATGGTACCATTAGAGCTGTATTCCCGCCGAACGAATGGATGGATGGCCTTCAACAGGTCACACTTCAGAGTTGCCTGTTTGCTAGCATGGATAGATCGCTCCCATCTGTGATCATAGGGCGTATTCTGACAGACACTGATACTATAGGTTTGGAGTATGACGCCTTTTGTATTTCTCGGCGTGGGCAGAAGGAGGCCCATGAAAGGTCGCTTGCCGAGAGGAAATACGTCAGTCCGTTTAAACACAAAGCGAGGAAACAGTCCATCACGATCTCGAATGTGGGTCCTATTTTCTCTGTAAAAGCTTATGTCTATCGACGGCCATTTCCACGAAAATCCAGGTATATTGTTTGATGTACGTTGATAAAACTTCCATCTGCGAGAACCATCTTTATTGATAATAAAATGTGGTGCTAGTTTGGACAGTGAGGTGACCAATCGTCGTACATCCTTAGCTCGCACCACAAGGTCAAGGTCGTCATCCCAAGGAATCATGCCGTGATGACGATAAGAACCAAGCAAGGAACCAGAATACAAAAAATATGTGACGTTAGATGCTACGGCTTTCATAAACGTTTTGAGAAGGATTTCAAAGGACCGTCTCTCCTTTTCGGTTATCACGACATCAAAAAGTTTTATTTTTCTCCTCAGTTCATTTGCGTCTAGTATGCTGTTGGCAGTTTCTGGTATCTGTGTGCCAGGAGGCCATGGCAGGAAATTGTTGGTGGTTGCTGGTACTGTTGACCTCCGCGTCTGTGGACCGGGGAAAGATGACAGGATGCTGCTATTAGTTACTTGTACTGTTGAACCCCGTGGCTGTGGACCGGGAGACGACGGCAGGGTGCTGCTGTTGGTTACTTGTACTGTTGAACCCCGTGGCTGTGGACCGGGAGACGACGGCAGGATGCTGCTGTTGGTTACTTGTTCTGTTGAACCCCGTGGCTGTGGACCGGGAGACGACGGCAGGATGCTGCTGTTGGTTACTTGTACTGTTGAACCCCGTGGCTGTGGACCGGGAGACGACGGCAGGATGCTGCTGTTGGTTACTTGTACTGTTGAACCCCGTGGCTGTGGACCGGGAGACGACGGCAGGATATTGCTGTTGGTTACTTGTACTGTTGAACCCCGTGGCTGTGGACCGGGAGACGACGGCAGGATGCTGCTGTTGGTTACTTGTACTGTTGAACCCCGTGGCTGTGGACCGGGAGACGACGGCAGGATATTGCTGTTGGTTACTTGTACTGTTGAACCCCGTGGCTGTGGACCGGGAGACGACGGCAGGGTGCTGCTGTTGGTTACTGGAACTATTGAACCCCGTGGCTGTGATCGCAGAGCGATGGTAATAGTTGTTGGCACAGTTGCAACGTTGTAGGTGAATACGACGATGCATGTAACTACCACAGTCAGATACATTATACATCGTTTTGCTCTCCTGATGGCCATCGTACCCTGGAATGAAATGTAGGTATAAGAGGCAGGTACATAGCAACATTTTACTCTCTATATGAGACCATAAATAAACCAGAAATATCACTGCACCAGCACACAAATCCAACTCCGTTTGCGTTAAACGGTGGTTTGCAAAATGGTGAGCCCAATTGCTGCCAAACCTGTGGCTTCCGTCATGTTTTTATAAAAAAAATATGTTTTATTTAATTCAGTATTTAATGTTACATATTTTCACATAAAGTAACATGACACGTAATACTATACTTATCAGTTGTAGGTAACATACGTAAACAGATAGCTAATTATAGTTGGCTGGACAGGATACAAGTGTGCAATACGATGTTAACAGTGAGTGAGTGAGTTGGGTTTAACGCTGCTTTTAACAGAATTCCAGTCATATCGCGGCGTGTCAGCTTAATGTGGGAGGAAAGCCCGAAGTGATGCAGGTCTCAGACGTTTACCACTTCGGTGAAACCCACGAGCACGGGTATGGTGCTGTCAGACCTAGAAACATAATCAGGGCGAACCGGGATTCGAACCCACAATCATAGGTTTCTGGCGTGCCTAAGGGACGCAACTCTGCACAGCGAATCGCGGCGCCTTAGACGACTGGGCCCCCGTGCCCCCCGATGTTAACAAGTCATACTTACTGATGTGCTTAGTTACGAAGCCTCTCCGAACACATGTCACGTGAACGTAGTAAATATACTATGTAATCCATATACTTGTCATCGTTCTAGACCAGTTGAAATCGGGTGTGCGCATGTGCAGCGCAAACTTACCAAGGATAATGCTTCAGGGGTGTGGCCTCTTTAGTCAGAATGTTTAAGTAGAACATTGTATTGGGAAATCGGATAGGGGGCATGCGCTATGTGTGTTGAGTGACAGGTACAACGGAAGAACAGGTAAAATGATTGACGGTTTGACTGCGAGGTGGCTCATAGTCGTATCAGTCGGTGTGACAGATGGCACAGACATATGTTCCGCGTGTTTATCAGTGTAGGGTAAAGGGTTGATGCAGCACGCGTGGAGCTCGATGCAATTCGTTACACAATGGCACAGGTAATGTTCATTTTACGAATGTCTATTTGTGTAAAGTATATATTAAATTTTTTTAATGTCATGTCACGATATGTAATTTGAAAAATAGTCCGTTTATGTCATGTTTATCTTTTTTTCAGGAGTCAAAGAAAGTGGAGTCGGTGTGTGTGTCTTTCATCAGCGATGACAAACATGTGTTCAGGCTCCTGCTATGGGGAATTCTACTGGTCACTGAGTGAGTGTCATGTTTTCACCATTTGAAACAACCCACGCAAGTGAGAATGCTGACAACTTATTCATCTAAAACAAAAAACAAAAAATGTGCCGTAATGTGCTGTTATGTGCCGTTATGTGCCGTTATGTGCCGTAATGTGCCGTTATGTGCCGTAATGTGCCGTAATGTGCCGTTATGTGCTGTAATTGTGCCGTAATGTGCCGATACTGGTTAGTCTGTAATGCCGGTGTCACGAAATATATTCGCCCCCAGGATAAAATCTCCCCCCGGCGAATTTATACCGGTACAGTTCCGCCCCTCTCGAAATAAACTCTCCCCCACCCTACGAAATAAAATCTCCCCCCCGAATATTTCCTCCCCCGGTCGTTTTATAAATACTTGCCATGCAGTTCAATAGTTTTAATGTTAATCTGTTTATGTATTTTTTTATTCATGTTTTCCTCTCCTTTATTTTTTTCTGGGTTATAAGTTTATCTAAATATACATTTAGATTTAGTTACTTGTGTGTGTGTGTGTGTGTGTGTGTGTGTGGGGGGGGGGGGTTGTTGATTTTTAATTTTTATTGATTTTTAGGTTTTTTTTCTTTTCGGGTGTGGAAGGGGGGTGGGGGGTGGGTTTCGTTTTTCATAATAATATATTTTTAAGTTGTATATAACGTATGAATCCCTTCTCAGATCACTTTATCTCATTTCTATATGACGTACTATTTTACTTCTCTGTGTTGTTCTTGTTTTCTCTAGCCTAGTGGTTAAAGCGTTCGCTCGTCACGCCGAAGACCCGGGTTCGATTCCCGACATGGGTACAATGTGTGAAGCCCATTTCTGGTGTCCCCCGCCGTGATATTGCTGGAATATTGCTAAAAGCGGCGTAAAACCATACTCACTCACTCACTCACTCTTGTTTTCTCTTCAGTATGACGTTATACTGTATCATTTTTACTATTTTGATATTTTGCAATATGTTGTGGTCATCAGTTATGCAAATCAGATTCGGTTATTCTTTTTAACAAGATGTTCTTCATTAATATTCACCGCCAGCCCCATTGTAACAATTACATGTACACTTTGCTTTGACGATGCCGGTTGATGTTGTTCAATACAGGTGTTTTTGAATCAATTCTACATGCTAATCATTTCGGGAAGATGATACACATTTCTCTATATTTTGGGTTACTTTGCTTATAAAGATTATACATATAAACTTACGCAGTCTTAGTAGATTTTAAAGTAGATTTAATCAGTGCTGACTAAGATAGTTATGATGTTGTATGTTTAACAGAAACCTGGTTGCACCATGATATTCTAGCCACTGGTATTACACTGATACCATTTTCAAATCGTAGCCTGTATTAAGGAATATATTTTAGATCTTAAACCAGAGTATAACGGCGTGGATATGTTGACAGATTTTACGTAGTTAGTGTTAAAACCGAATGTTTGCGAGGATTAATAAGATTTCTGAATTCAGTTTCAACAGTAGTTCCGGTGTCACGAAATAAATTCGCCCCAAGAATAAAATCCCCCCCCCCCCCCCGGCTAATTTTATACCGGTACAGTTCAGCCCCTCTCGAAATAAACTCTCCCCCACCCTTCGAAATAAAATGTCCCCCCCAGAATATATGTAATATTTCCTCCCCCGGTCGTTTTATAAATACTTGTGTTTGGCTTGTGTTGGGTCCGACTTGGCCCGGACTATCAAAATCCACTTTAAACACACAGATGTATCATCAGATGTGTTTACATCTATAGACAAGCCAAACACTTCTGATAGAGACGATGTTGAGAATGTGGAGTGAAAAGGGCTTCACTTTGAGCACTGTGTTTTCTTTAACTACCTCAATATGTGACAATAACTTACTTACTTACTTACTTTGGAGATTTAACGTGCGCTTTCCGACTGATGCGTATTTCGCACACGGGCCCGGCCAGGCCATTTAATGTGTTTCCGAAAGGGGCGAAAGTGGTGTGTGCAACCCAAGAGGGGGCTTTAGGGGTTGTTTATATAGAATTTGGGAATTTTGAGATTTGGAATAGATGCCGATGGGATTGGGGAGGAGAACTAAGGGAGCTGGGTATGGTGGATGTTTGTTTGTTTATGTAATTTTGATTTGGTAGATGATAGTGTTTTTAGATGCGTTTTATTAGTTCCGTTTTGATTAAGAATACGCCTAAGGCCTTGAAGTTTTCTAGTTTATTTTGTGGGTTTAGTATTGCTTCTAGAGTGAGAGTCTTGTTTAGATTGAGGGTGGTTTGTAATGCGGTTCGATGTGTTAGGTAGTGTGTGCAGTGGATGAGTGCGTGTTCTGGGGTTTCTGGTTGTTTGCAGTGTGGGCAGTTACCTGTAGTGTTAATTTATATTTTTTTAGGTGGTTATTTAGGTTGGTGTGTCCTGTTTGGAGTTTAGTGATTACTCTGTCGATTTTTAAGTCGACAATAAAGTGGTATATAGGTAGATATAATACTAGTCGTTAGATATAAAGAATGTTTAGTAACTTTAGAAGTTCTAGCACAGTTATTAACACGTGTCATGTCAGCCCTATGACATTCGCGATTGTCCACTTCCAGAAAACATCCTGTGTTGGTTTAACATGAAAAGGTTAATTAGGGATGCCCAACACGTTAATTAATGAAAGACGAGAAGTCAAAACACTGTCATTTCCTGCCCAGGACATCACACCCCTACACGCTAAGGTCGGTGAGAAACATTTTCATCAAAGAAAACACACAGTCAAGACACGGAATATATTCTCCCCCTGATTATTTATACAGACGTGTTATGCAGTTCAATAATTTTAGGTGTATTAAATGCTTATGCTATGCAGTGTCTGTGTGGTATTTTGTGATAGACCTAAACACTAGATAAGGAAATATATGTGGTAAGAATGTGTTCAGCTGTTTTTAGATTCCCGTCGTCTAGCTACAAATCCTGTGATGTATAATAACAGTATTAATGGTTGAAGAATTTTGAACTGAACTGTCCGAAAGTTTATATCTAAAATTTTGGAATTGAAGACAGTGATAAAGTCTTATATCAATATGTGGACTCATAAATATTGGTTTTATGTTTTAACGGAGATATGATATTTTCTTATGAAATATCGCGTAATAGTGTAATTTGCGTGCTTTACCATTCATTGTACCATTCTAAACACAATTCGAGATTAGGGCATACTGGGAACATACGACTAAACCTCAAGGTTGACTGTCAGACACTTTTTGGAGAAATAAGGAAATGATAACGGATCTACATTGGTTTGTGTTCCAGGGTGTTCATCTACAGCTCGTACACTATTCTGGCGCATCTGTGTCTAGTGGATGGGAAACTGCCGTTCAGGTCGTCGTCCGTTGTCTTCTCCACGGAGGTCCTCAAGGTTTGTTTCATTGTCGTTGCACACTATCCTATTTTATTATTTTCAGTCATACATATTGTAGTTATAACAATGTACTTCCATGACAGATTATGAATTGATTGATAGGCATTACTTAGAAGTTGACGGATGACAAAGTAGACACAATTTATGGATAACAACTTCTTTAATACTGTAAAGGCGACGTTTCGGTACAGATCCATATACCGTGGTCAAGCAGTCTTACTTACATCCTAGTATTATTTGTGTTGTAGATTGTCTTGTCGATAGCAATGATGTTGCCCGAACTGGGTCGAGGTGACATCACAATGCCGTCACTGCCCAACTGTATCCCATTCGTTGTTCCAGCCGTGCTGTACTGTATCAACAACAACCTCAGTGTTTACATGCAGGTTCAGATGGACCCCACCACCTACCAGGTAATGTTACAGCTTACCGCCATCGACAGCCTGGGTTCCAATCTTGGGTATAAACCATCGTCTTGGGCTAGCTACCAAACAAACCACACATTTTCATTATGTCGTAGGGGAGTCCTGTGGTTAAAGCGTTCGCTCGTCACGCCCAAGACCAATTCCCCACATAGGTCCAATGTGCCAAGTCCATATAAAATGATCTTGCAATGATACGTGTAGAATATTGCTGAAGGCAGCGTGAGATCTCACACTGTTACACAGCAACGCTATTCACAAATGGTACCTCTTAATTTTCGGTCATAAAAACGGTCATAATATTTCAATACTTGGTATATTTATGTTCCGGTTCATATAACAAGAAGAATACGTGAACATATTTGTCAAATAATTGTCCGCAGATCTTGGGGAACACGAAGGTGGCAACCACGGCAATCCTGTACAGGATCATTATACAACGGTTAGTAAACTGGGACATAATCGGTCATTTTACTTTGATAGTTTTAATACTGTACATAACAACTGGATGGGACGTAAACTGTTTTGGAATAACCAGCTACAATGTATGTGACCTGCTACAATTGCCATCATCTAGTGAAACATTTCCTGACCAGCCGGATTCAGGTCCAATCACTGGTATAAGTACCTGTGTCTGTACAGTCGCATTTACACCTGTCCTTATTTTAGTCACCCGCAAACGTTACATTACGGCATTGTGTGATTATTCCGACGAACATCGATGCAATATGAGTATGAGGTGATACTAATTTGATTTTGATTTTACGAGCGCTTCTGAAAGTTCTGCTTCAGCACTCGGCATGTTTTGAGTAATAAATAACGTTTTATGAAACTCCTACGCATTGAGATGTTCACAACATACTTAATCCTTTGTTCATTACATACTGTATAAAGCTAAGTATACATCTCTAACACATTCCGTTGTGAGTTCAGAAACAATATGCTACTGAAATAAAATACTTAGATGAACATGAATTGTGCACTAAATAATACAATGCAATGTGAAAATTGATACATAAAAACATGATGGTGGGTTATGCCTCGTCTCACTGCCTTGTTTAGCGACCATAGAAGATCATCTACTTATATCCCTTGTATAGTGCACAATAGCAGCTGGTTGAATGAATGCTGACTGAAAATATCGGGGCTCATAGGGCAAAATAGCAGACCGGGTGCGCAAAATACTGACTTAAAAAATGACTATTATAACTGGGTAAACGGGATACTGACTAAGACGGCCCCGACAAACAGGGAACAGACTGACAGGGCATGGTTTAGCTAGTATCGTATTCGTTGTTTCCCTTTATAGAAGTTACAGATCTTATCAACCTAATCCAATGTTAATAAGTAAAATACTGTATTTGTTGATGCAGCCGTTGTGAGTTCAGAAACAATATGCTACTGAAATAAAATTCTTAAATGAACATGAACATGTGCACTAAAAAATGTGAAAATTGCTACATAAAAACATGAATGTGAGTTATGCCTCGTCTAATTGCCTTGTTTAGCGACCATAGAAGATCATCTACTTATATCCCTTGTATAGTGCACAATAGCAGCTGGTTGAATGAATGCTGACTGAAAATATCGGGGCTCATGATCATAGGGCAAAATAGCAGACCGGGTGCGCAAAATACTGACTTTAAAAATGACTAACAGGGGACAACAGGTGGCTTGGTGAGCAACATACTGACTTATAATGTCTTGACTAATAGGACTGGGGAAACGGGATACTGACTTAGACGGCCCCGACAAACAGGGAACTGACTAACAGGGCATGGTATACATGTAGCTAGTATCTGGGGATGGCGATCTTATTAACCTAATCCAATGCTGATAAGAAAAACACAGTTCACTTGTTGATGCAGGAAGCTGAGCGGTGTGCAGTGGATATCCCTGGGAGTTCTCAGCATATCCGGCATCTTAGACAGGTTGGTCAACACTTCAGCTAACTGAATGAGTGCGTGAGTATGGTTTTACGCCGCTTTTAGCAATATACCAGCAATATCACGGCGGGGAAAACCAGAAAATGGGCTTCACACATTGTACCCATGTCGGGAATCGAACCCGAGTCTTCGGCATGATTACGTTCCTAATACTTTTAATGTAAAGTGTCAAACTCACTGCCTAGCTATATGTGGCGATATGGAAGGCGTGACCTCTTATCTTCAGAATCTTGGTCTAAGTATGATGGCATGCACAACAATAAGAGGTCCGATGTTTTCTACAAGTCTGTCAATCTTGGTCTAAGTATGATTGCATGCACAACAATAAGAGGTCCGATGTTTTCTACTTGTCTGTCAATCTTGGTCTAAGTATGATGACATGAACAACAATAAGAGGCCCGATGTTTTCTACTTGTCTGTCAATCTTGGTCTAAGTATGGTATGCACAACAATAAGAGGCCCGATGTTTTCTACAAGTCTGTCAATCTTGGTCTAAGTATGATGGCATGCACAACAATAAGAGGCCCGATGTTTTCTACTTGTCTGTCAATCTTGGTCTAAGTATGATGGTATGCACTACAAAAGGAGACCTGATAATTTATGTATCTGTATCTCTTTGTCCAGCTATGGCGGTATGCAGAACAAGGCCTCTGTCTGGTCAGGAGAGATACACCTAACAGTTACGGGGCTTCTCATGATGTGCGCCTACTGTTGGATATCAGGCCTCGCCGGTGTCTACACGGAATACATATTAAAGAAACAATATGAGGTAAGGCACTGACCGCTGGCTAATGGATTTCAACTTTTTACAACGTTTCGGAACAGGTGTACGTGCATCAAGCAGGTGATCACGACAGGGTAAAGAAAAATCACGTGCATTGGTTTTGGTACTATTTACGTACTTATAAACGTGCCTGTATTATCTTGTTCTATCCAGCTGTTGATCACTTGGGGGAAAAAGGTACTAGCACCTGAACCGGAACGTTTCTATGTACTAATAAAGAAGTCAACACTGTCTTCGATGCGGTCAAAATATGTTTCATAAAATGGTGTCCGTTTCTCGTAAAGGTCTCAACGTTGTCATGAATGCTGTGTGTAAAAATTAAGACATTGTCACTTTGAAGTCTGGGTTATTTAAACTGCTGGATATTTATATACCTCTAACTTTTTTAGCATACAAGTAAAAGTACGTTTCAGAACCGAAAGACATTAACTACGAGACTATCTTGCCAGGGCTTAGTCCATCGTTAATTAATCTTTTTCTCCAAATGCTTGTCCAGACATCCCTCCACGTTCAGAATACCCTGTTGTACACATTCGGCATCGTCCTGAACGGGGGAGTGTGGGCCGTGCAGGAGGCAGTGAGCGGCAAGGAAGGGGGTAAGCAAAATACACAATCTAAACGGTGTGGTCAGACCCTCCTTAGTCGTCATTTTCATACATGTATGTAACACTGTTGTCAGAGGGATTATCTGTTAACACTGTTTAAATATTGGATTCAGTTTTAGCATTCCTGATATTGACTTTGGCATGATGGCTTACTGCTAACCAAACTTATCTCTTTGTGACAATTGAACCCCCTGAGTCGTTAACAACAGCAGAGGTCCTGAACGGGGGAGTGTGGGCCGTGCAGGAGGCAGTGAGCGGCAAAGAAGGGGGTAAGCAAAAGACACACCCAAACGGTGTGGTCACTCCCTCCTTAGTCGTCACATCGTGAACAACATATCGATACGTTACACTGTTGTCAGAGGGATTATATGTGAACACTGTTTAAATAGTCAAATATTGGGCTCAGTTTTAGTATTGCCGATATTGACTTCGGCATGATGGCTTACTGCTGACCAAACTTCACCACTTCGTGACAATTGAACCCCATGATCTGGATAATTCGTAGAGTTGTTAACAAAAGCAGAGGTGGAAGGTGTGTCGGTTTGTTCACATGAAATAGACATTCTGGGGGCCATCATTAAATATTTATAACAATAACACAAATTCAGGATAATTTATTACCTTGAGATGCCCTGTCATGGTAAAGTAATATGTCAATATCCCCCCTGGATAGTCTGTGTGTGAAGCCGCTGATTTTCCTCTGGAGGTCCTGGTACTTCTTCCTGGGTGGGAGCCGCCAGCCTGTACTGTATTAAAGCTTCTTCAACTCGTTCATCTTCAATTCACCGAGGGCGGTCGGGTCGCCTGGTGGTTAAAGCGTTCGCTCGTCACGCCGAAGACCCGGGTTCGATTCCCGACATGGGTACAATGTGTGAAGCCCATTTCTGGTGTCCCCCGCCGTGATGTTGCTGGAATATTTCTAAAAGCGGCGTAAAACCATACTCACTCACTCACTCAATTCACTGAACTGATTAATGTCGCAGATGGTGGGGCGTGGCTTGCTAATAACCTTCTAGTTATAAAAATAACAGGACAGTTGTCTGTACCTGTATTGTATCGGAAATCAATTGTAGTCAATGGTTACCTGCAGCTTCTTCAACTCGGCGGACGGCTCGAATGTAGTTTTTTAATGGTCTTGTTTGGTAATTTGAGAAATCTTAACATGGATGGTATAAATTTGTAGACACAGTTTTCGTGGCATGTAGACAATTCCGTCCCCGTACACGACGTCAACAGAACAAGGTATTCTAGATTGATACTGGTGGCAAATCCAAGGATCTTGTCATCGTGCCCAGCATTCATCATCAAGAAATGATCTCTGGAAATTGGAACGGCTCCTTCGCGTCGGCAGAGCAGAGAATGTGGATCGTTTTGCTCTGTACTTCGCAGAGACCTATGTTGGCATGGACTCCATGAATGATCGGTTGTCATATGTTCAGGCTCTGAGGGTGGCAACTTCTTCATTAGATAGAGATGGCATCGGCTGCAAGGTATCGTGGGCCTTCAGCTTCAATCCGTGTAGCATGTGTATGATCTGCAGTTTACATTATATTTGATTTGTCTATATTTATGTTACATTACATTTCCTTTCATATAGCATAGTATAGCATTCCACACTGAATCATGGATGTCGTTTTGAGACAATGTCAATAACTGTTTAAGGACAGTTATTGGTGACGTACCTCAATGCGATCTATTCTTATGTCATTCTGTCGCTCAACACGCGTAACCATCTGTACACAAATATCTACCACCCCGAGAAGTACGCATGAATGTGAAACCTAAATGTGCATTTGCCAAAATGAAAATGATACTATTCATCAGCATTTTGATAGTACTCACCAAATATCCCCTTTCGGAAGACAGTTCACAAGTTTACAACAATTAATCTTTTGATCAACCAACACAACTGACACAGCATACCACATCAAAGGAATTTTACCGTAAATTCAAAGTTCTTCTTCGTGGGAATACACCGTTTGCCTTGGATCAGTTGGTTCGGGATTTGCCTGCTTTATGAACATCGGCACATTCCATCGCAGTTCTCTGTTCAATTGAATGGACATTTCCACTATGTGCGAAACGCCTACAGCTCGAACACACCTGTGTCCCACCAACGGTTTGAATTGCTATGATCGGTTTATCGGGTAATGTCTACAAAGTATGGGTCAAAAGCGGCCTTGTTGAGAAGAGTTCTGTTCCTAAGCATTACAAGGATCTCCTTGCACAGAGTTTGAACCTAAATTTGCCCCAATCATTATTTTATCTGCGCCTACCCCGTTTGCCTATTTTTCACCTTTAAGATAGGTACAAGATATGGGTTTTCTGTTTGACTGGGTTAGGCGATCTGGATATGGGAGTGCTCGCTTCTGAATTGTTAAGGGGTTTTCCCGTCTAATTATATAACCTGAGGTATACCATTTGCTGATAAGAGTTTTCAGTTCAAAAACAACAAACACATAGTTAGTGAAACGAATTTGGAATGTCCTTTATATATAAAAAGCTAGTTATATATATGGAGCATTAGCTTTCTAATATATATATAGAGCATTAGCTTTCTAGCCTTTTTCAGGGGCTGTCGGGTAGCCTAGTGGTTAGAGCGTTCGCTCGTCACGCCGGGTTCGATTCCCGATATGGGTACGATGTGTGAAGCGAATTTCTGGTGTCCCGCGCTGTGATATTGCTGGAATATTGATAAAAAGGGGTGTAAAACCACACTCACTCACTCAACCTCAGTATTGTTACTTCATACACTTAATATTATTTTCAATTGTACAATTCAATCCTTTCAATATATTTAGTCTCAATCATCATGAATGAATGTCCCAATAACCAAGCAGATGAGACACATCCTTCTGAGATTGTCATGGGTCAAGTTGTCTTGGTCGTCTCGTGCTCACTCTAATGACTTGGCCTTTTCCAAAGAGGCACTGTGATCCGGTGTACACAGGTGTTAGGCGATCTGTGCTCTATAGGATTTAGATGATGTGGACTGTAATTAGGCAGGAAGATTAAGGATGTGGGTACACTCGATGCTATCAATGCCTCACCAGCGCTCGTTAGTTTCATCAAAGTAGTTTTCTCCACATCAAGCTAACACATCAACTCACTGCACCGCATCTCAGAATAGGCCATTTTTATTATAAGTCGATGATATAATTAAACATATATATTGTCGTGCCAGATGTTACGGTCATTATTTGTTGTTAATTACAGAGAGACGTTTGAATCTGTTCGAAGGCTTCACGTTCAAGACGTGGGCAATAGTTGTGTCCTTGGTGAGCTTTTTGTTTTCTTGTCAGATCAGTGGGGTAGTCTTATGGTTGAACGCTTTCGCTCTTCACGCGGAAGCCCGAATTCGATATGGGTACAATGTTTGCAGCTCATTTCTGGTGCCATCCGCCTTATTATTGCAGGTAAAAGTGGCCTAAAATCCTCATCCAACCTGCAGACATTTCAGTTTTAACAATGACTAACGATTATGTCTTCTGAATGTGATGGCAAACTAGCCTTGGGCTATCTGTATGTAGAAGACGAACGTGGTGCTACGACTATTTTAACCACCATACCCTTTTTTACGGAGTATTACCCATTGAATTGCTTCATATTCGTAAGACATTGTGACCATGCGATATCAAGATAATGGAATACATTTTTTTTGGCAAGGCGCGTTAAGGTCACCTCATAATATAAGTACTTTGAGATAGCACTGGATTGCGTCCCTTAGGCATACCAGGATCGTGAGTTTGTATCCCAGATTATGACACTTGGCATTTTCACTAAAGTGGGCAACATATACCAGGTACATCAGTTTTCTCTACATATTCAGCTGACACGACGTGATATAACTCGAAATAACAGAACTAGAGGAATCAATACTGTGAATGTGTTCAAATAAAACAGTAACAAACTTTGACAATTGCAGAATGATTAACTTGAATAATTGAGTTAAGGTTCACGTCACTATTTGCTTCATACAGTGTAACGCTGTGGTGAATAGAACCCGCACAAGAAAATCGAATGTTTTAAGACGTGGGCTACCTAACATTCCATTTTCTTACAGTTTCGTAATAGCAACGATATGATTATAAGGTATTCATTTTATGTTTTGCGAGTAATATTTTATGCCTGGAATTCTAATTTAGAACCGATTGCATTAATGTTAATCCTTAATCGATCCATAAAATGCAAACATTATCAGAAACTTTCTCCTTCCTTATAAATATTTCATCAAAATTGATATTTATATAATATGACATCCACTTCGCCAAGGTGAATGACACATTTATAAAAATAATTGGATTGAGAAAGAAATGTATACTCGCAGTGAAAAGTCCTGAAGAGTTCCGGCACCACTACAATTAATTAAAGTTTTGCAACAAATCAGACAGCAAAACGCCCCTCATTCATTTTACAATGTATATTTCACAATGTATATTATGACATACGTAATAATAATACTGCATCTCTCCCCAGGCCTTCAACGGGCTGATAATGTCGGCCATCATGAAGCACGGCAGCAACATCACACGTCTCTTCATCATCTCCTGCGCCATGTTGGTGACGACTCTACTCTCTGTCGCCATCTTCCAGTTGGCCCTGAACATGTATTATATCTTGGCGTTTATCTTGGTCGTTGTAGCCTTGTACATGTATCACAGATGATACTCTTTCTATATGAAGTACGATAAAAGATGATGGACTTATCAAGTCCTTGTTGCGTTTGCGTAAAGCTGTTGTGAATATGAGTGAGTGTGGTTTTACGCCGCTTTTAGCAATATTCCCGCAATATCAAGACGGGGGACACCAGAAATGGGCTTCAATCATTGTACCCATATCGGGAATCGTACAAGGGTCTTCGGCGTGATGAGCGAAAGCTTTAACCAATAGGCTACCCAACCGCCCCTACGTGAATATGAAGTACATTATGTTCATGTATATGCTGTCTATATGTTAATACTGTATTAGAGCTCCAGGCCAGATTGGAGTACACTCTTGTTGTTGTCGTTTCATCCTCCTCATTATTCCGCCGTTTCTTAATCTGTTAGCAGTGGTCCTTTTCTGTCCCATCTTTCTGGTAGGCCTCAGAGGAAAGGGCATATAAATTATAAATGAGTGAGTGAGTGAGTATGGTTTTACGCCGCTTTTAGCAATATTCCAGCAATATCACGGCGGGGGACACCAGAAATGGGCTTCACACATCGTACCCATGTCGGGAATCGAACCCGGGTCTTCGGCGTGACGAGCGAACGCTTTAACCACTAGGCTACCCGACCGCCTAAATTATAAATGACTCATTTGAAGAAACATAGCTTGGTCTATTGCATCGGAACCACTCATCCAATAACTGTCAAGCTTTGGTCGTTGGTCACGTCGTTTGGCTGCTATGTTGGTTTCAAGGTTTTCTACAAATGTACATCCAACCATCAAAACTAACGTTTAACATTTTCGGAAACGTCTCACAGCTACTAACTGTGATCTTTGTTTCGTATACAAAATAATCATACTTGGTATTTCTCATCAGGAATTGAATAGAAAACTTGAAATGTCTGCAGGAGGGATCAACTTCAGATCAGGGTTGGCAGTTATGTCGCATTTACACTTTCGCCCATATTTCAGGTACATGTCTCACTGAGGTTTCTCACCTAAAATCACTGTTTGATTGTTTCCAATCTTTCCACAAAGGTTTTCAAAGGTTCTGCAGGGAGAACAATGAAACTTATGTGCATAATTGTAACGAATCAACATAAGATGTTGCACTTTTTTCTTGAGTGGGTCATATTTGATTAATATTTCATCTGAAATAAAAATGCAAATTCCGCTTATTAATACTGAATAAAGCGTCTGTTATATATGCGAATACCTCCCATTACTGCCCTCAGACTGTCGAAGTCTCTTTGATACAAGCAAGCAGGAACCGGGAATTATTTGCTATGGTTGTCAATTACTGTAAACGTATGTTACTTTCATTCGAAAGAGAAACTTTTTTGGTTGCTTCGAATGTACAGGTACAGTCATCCAATGAAATAGGCCGTACTTCATGAACTAGGTAATGGAGGCCGCTAAAGTACAAGTAAAGTTGACAACTGATTAATTGATTTGTGTATGTGGAAGGATGAAGTGCAGATTAAAATACGAAATAAAAATACTCATAATCTAATAAGAGAATCTGCGTGGCGTGTATCGTTTTGTATTCATACAGCAGTTAACGATCTAATACCTTTATCGTTCTGGTGTGCGCTGAATGTTCAGAGTTATGATACACAGAGTTTATTGCAAATGAGGAATTGAATATATAGTAAAGAAACAGTCATAAAATGTACATTCAAGACGTATGCACTGTATACCCGAACGTACCTGCATCATATATATATATATATATATATATATATATATATATATATATATATATATATATATATATATATATATACACACACAGCTGGTCCACGTCATACCAAAAGACGTTATAAGATGGTACTGGTTGTTACCCTGTCTGGCGCTCGGCATTAAGGGGCTAAAACAAGGACTGGTCGGCTCGGAGTCAGTATACTGTGTCTGAGTGGGGTATTCATATTAAACTGCGGCATGGTATCTCAGTGAGCTAGCACTATAATCGGCATCAGTCCGGACATGCACATCGCTATATAAGTGCAATAATCTTGGACGCGACGTTAAACCCAATTTCACCTCACCTCACTACACCTGGTCACTCACACTCACACAGATTACATAAATTTAAAAATTACATACACAACTGTTTTACAAACAAAGAGATCACATATTACACCTTTACTACTTAATCACACACTTATTCATACGCATCTGTACTATCTGGAGATGCACATATATTACATATGTATTACACACATACGCACACGCACAGAAACACACAGATATTACATATAGACAAAGATTACATACACATCTGTACTATCCCGACACACACAACTAGGTTTTTGGTGTTGAACGTAACACACATTTACTGAATAAAGGAGGGGGCACGGGTGGCCAAGTCGTCTTAGGCGCCGTGATTCGCTGTGCAGAGTTGCGTCCCTTCGGTACGCCTGAAACCTATGATCGTGGGTTCGAATCCCGGTTCGCCCCGATTGTGTTTCTAGGTTTGTCAGCACCATACCCGTGCTCGTGGGTTTCACCGAAGTTGTAAACGTCTGAGACCTGCATCACTTCGGGCTTTCCTCCCACATTAAGCTGACACGCCGTGATATAACTGGAATACTGTTAAAAGCAGCATTAAACCCAACTCACTCACTCACTCACTCACTGAATAAAGGAGTTTAGGAGATCCCCGCCCACATCATTACGTTGCCACATCTGACGTCCTACCGTAAGCAAAAGCTAATCGATCAGGCATAAATCTTGACCATATAGTTAGTTCTCTATCTCTAGTTATACCAACACTGATGTGTCAAAATAACACCTCCGACAGGCCTCCTGACGCCGTGACCTGCCTCACGAAGCTTGGTCCGTACTGTCAGATATCATTAGCAATACTTGAATTGCTGCTGTTATAGAGGATGGTGTTGTACACATATGCCGCAAATGACGTTCTTGTATGACGAGGACATGGGAAGCTGTTGTAGCACAGGGTCGGCCGTGATGTCGTTGGTACAGATACCAAAGTCTAGTGATGGTACTCTGGGACTCGGTGAATACCCTGGGAGTGACGGACTGTGATTGTGAACCACTCCTAAACACACACTCACCTCTTTTATATGCATATGAATTTACACTTGTTAAACATGCACGCGCATTGATTCCGTGGTTCCCATGTGGTAATACTCTTCTGTATTGCTAAGCTCTGATTTTGGTCGTTGCTGCATTCCAACAATGACATCATATTCACGTCTGACGTTTCGTTTATGTGGTGATGTCTTTCGTATGGTTTTATAGAGAATCTCACCCGAGTGTCTTTTGATATCAAATATATCAACAAGAGTTCATAAAAGTGGAAACATTCCGAGGCTTGCCGAGTGTTGATATATTTCATATCAAAAGACACGAGGGTGAGATTTTATTTATCATCCAACATCATTCTTCCAACTTTTTCAATTTGTAGACAGTAATTAGCAGTGTCTTCAGTGTAAAAAGTACTGCTAACAGCTTCAGTAGCAGAGCCATTAGTGATGTCATTTGATTGTGACGTCATGGTAACAGTGACGTCACAATGGTCTGCAAAGCATTGTGATGTAATTTCATCGCGGCGATATCTACAGTGTAGATATCGCTTGATCTAATCCAAGTGATATCTCCTGTGGGAGCCAGTTTTGGATGATAAATCCATATCACATATTCGTTTGTCAGGAGCATAAATTGCAGTTAACATTTAGTAATATTTGAATACAGATATTGTTGGTCCCCGTGTGTGAAATAATGATTCAAGTTTCTGATACCTGATACATCTTATATATTGTTTTAGTAGGCCTTTCAGTGAGATTGACCAATCAGAACTACTATCCCAGTTTTAGTCCGTATACCGTCAGTAAAAATCCAAGATGATCCATGTTTTGAGTTTTACAACACCTATCTTACAAAACATAAACATTCTGGTACAGAAAAGTGTTATTCGACAGTTTTGTGTTTTATTATCAACGAAGGTCACTGATTTACAAATTGCAACGTCATAGAACATAATATAGGATGAAGTCACAAACGCGAAACGTGTCGCCAGTGACGTCACATAGCAATAAATAGATAGCAGCCCGTCGTGAGGAAAACAATGACGCGCAGATTTCTGATATAATGCGGGCATTTTAATGATAATTTAGATATAACCCTTGTTGAAACGTTCACATTTTGTGCATTATATATTCCATTGGTACCGTTTGTGTTCACATGAAAGCGTTGTATCAGTAGCATATGTGGTGGTCCTGTCATTCATACCGGTTGTAAACGTCAAGTTCACATGTCATGTGCGATAAAGATACCAAATAGTGTAAACTTTTCGGCATATTAAATTCATTGTATGTAATCACTCATCAATTATTTAGTACATGTGTGTTACTTTCAAGACCAAAAACCTAGTTGTGCGTTTTTATTTTAAGGAGAATACCTCTTTTACAAGGCAGCTGATACTCTCAGTCTTATTAGGCTCGGAAGAACTGTAATACCGTTCATATGTTCCGCTGATGGGTAAAATAGTCTTCTCTGGATGATGATAGGCTGAATAGTATCATCATGGTAAGCAAACTATAGATGAATAACGTCTCCATCTTGATGGGGATTATTCACCGTGCATAGTATCTTAGTCGTGCAAGGATCCGATGATTGCTCATTCGAATCCGATTCCTCCAAACAAGATGACAACGTCTACATTAGACCTGAACCATTTGGTGCTTCTCTCCGACAATAGGTGAGGCGAAATGGGGTTAACGTTGGATACAAGATTATTTCTGGATAGCGACGTTTATGCATGTGTGTTTGAGGCTGCTTCTACTAGACCGGGGTAATAGTGCTTGCCCACAGGTACAATGCCGCAGTTAAGCACGAATTATACTGACTCTGAGCCGGCCTTTTCTTGTTTTATCCCCTTATTGACGAGCGCTAGGAAGGGCAACAACAAGTACCTTCTTTTAACATTTTTGGTATGACAGGGGCATGTTCTCATCGATAAGCTGCACACCATGATACATTTAACACACTCTCACTCCCTGCCAACACTTTACACATATATACAAAGAATACCAGTTCAAACGGATTAACAACAAAACGGATTAGCTATACTTTTCTAATAAAAAGTGGAAAGTAATTTCACACTATACCTAAAATGAATATGGAGAGCATGAGAACTTTACCATTAATTATAGTTAGAGCAAGTGTTCACAATATTAGTATCCAAAGCAGTGTGTTTGGCTTTTTTGGGAGACACGAACTAGACTGTTGGCGTGATGAGCCAATATTGTAACAATTATATGCTAGTTCGTAGCACTGATTAACACTAAAAACTTCTTCTAAAATTAAGATCCCCAACTGAAGTAACTGTAAAATCTCCCAATCAGTAAAGGATGTTCTTTTATACTGAACAACAAAAGTTCCTATGACGTTGAATAAGATTAAATGCAAAGTTATGTTTTTTACCAAATCTGAAACAATTTCGGTTTGCAACAGATAAAAGACTCCTGTAAGTGTTCAAATGGTTTAATTTGCCATACTGACTTCAGAAAATGCGTGATTTCAAAAGAAAAACATGAACGTGCCAAAATGTCAATTAACAAATCAGTAGCGTGTCTATCCACCTCTGGTTGCGATTCAAGCAACACATCTTCGTCTCATGGAATGGACCAGGCGTCGCACAAAGTCACGTGGTTGACAAACACAAACACGTGGTTGACGTCGAAGGCGCCGATCTATCTCATCCCACATGTGCTCGATTGGTGAGAGATCAGGGGAGCGAGCCGGCCAGGGGGTGACATTCACGTTGTTTTCTTGAAGAGAATCCTGAACAAGTCGAGCAATTTGAGACCGGGCGTTGTCATGTTGAAAGGTAGTGCCTGGGCCATGACGACGCAAAAAACGGTAGAACAACAGGACCGATGATCTCGTCGCGGTAGCGCTGTCCATTGAGATTTCCCTCTACCACTATCAAACGGGTCCTCTGTCTTGCTGTAATCCCACCCCATACCATAACGCTGCCGCCCCCGAACCGATCTTCTTCCATGACACAATGATTGACGTAACGTTCACCTCGACGTCGGTACACTCGAATCCGTCCATCGCTGTGGCTGAGGTGAAAACAAGACTCGTCAGTGAATAAAACTTGTCCCCACTGCATGGCCGTCCGGCGTAGACGCTGTCTGCACTACTGTAGACGTGCTTGACGGTGGTTTCCTGTAAAAATGGGACGTCTGGCGGGTCTTCTGGCGACGATCCCTGCACATCTGAGGCGGCGACGTACAGTTTGTGAAGATATTCGTCGAAGCCCAGGGATGCTTCTTGTAGTCACTGTTGCTGGCTGGAATCAATTTCGTAGGTGTGTTGTTCGAATCCAGTTGTCTTGTCGAATATTGGTTACGCGTGGCCTGCCACTCCGAGGATGATCTCTGACTTCATTCGTCTGTTGCCAACGTTGCCATAAACACCAAATGGTGTTTCTGTAGACGTTACATTGTCTTGCAACATCAAGTTGACTCGATCCTGCTTCAAGCATACCAATGGCTCGCAGACGCTCATTTTCGGACAGGCGTGGCATTTCGTAATGTTGAATATTTGCATAATTTTGTTGTTTTTCTGAGTGATTTTTTTCATCACGATGCTAAACAATGCATATGGAATCCTGTTAACGCATAAAGTCAACTTTTGCATGGAAAGCATGCTTTTCTGTAGCAGTTGCGTTTTTGTGACTTGATTCTATACATGTACTACAATATTGAAAACCAAACTTTACTTGTTTGAAAAATACACTAAAATATTGGTGTCACAGGAACTTTTGCTGTTGAAGATGGTATATGGATTGAATAATCGACAAATTATGTATTGAAACACACAGGACTAGATTTACAATCAGAAAAGGCAATACAATTGGTAAAATAGGTGACTGCAGTAATAAATAACAGGCCCTATGACGTAAATCAGTGCTCTCACGAATGTAAAGAATGTTTCAAAATTGAATGTCTTGAGTGAAAGCGCCGTTCTTGAATGCAGAAAAAAGTGTTGGAAACAGGCAATAAGTCGGTGTTTTCACTGGGCATTAGATAAGACGCACGTCAGGTCTTCCAAGACCTTGAATCACCCACCGTCTTACATGGGTACAACCAGTCTTCAAGAAAATGCTATCTCGCGATGCTTCTCGAATCATCAGAGTTAGTGCCGGTGTCCTGGTATAAACTCTACCCCGTAAAAATTCTCCCCCCCCCCGGAGATTTTATACCGGTACAGATTCTCCCCCAGGGAATCTGTTCTGAAATAAAATCTCCCCCGGTCGGATATATTTTGCTCCCCCCTCAGTATAAAGTCTCCCCCCTGATTATTCGGTTTGTTGCAATGTCTTTAAGTACTATATTCTTTAAATAGTTATCTTTTATGTAAGGAGGGTTACTTTAAAAATAGATAATGAAATATGGTCATATTGAATTGATATTTCAGCATATTGTATTTGGTAACTGTACCTTCCATCCTAAAATAATTATAAGACATAATCATACCAAACAAAGGATGGGAGACAAGAGTCTCTACAGAGTTTGTTGTTTCTAATACAGTTGTTGTTGTCTGTATACATTTTTTTAGTATACCAGTTTGAGTCTACATGTGAGGTGAGGTGATGTGAAATGGGGTTTAATGTCGCGTCCAAGATTATGGCACTTATATAGCGACGTGCACGTACGTGTGTGTGTTTGTGTGGCTGCTTGTACTAGTCCGGACTAGCTCACTGAGATACCATGCCGCAGTTTAACATAAATACCCCACTCAGACACAGTATACTGACTCCGAGCCGACCAGTCCTTGTTTTAGCTCCTTAATGCCGAGAGCCAAACAGGATAACAACAAGTACCATCTTTTTACGTCTTTTGGTATGACGCGGACCAGCTGTGTGTGTGTGCGGTATGATGCAAGTACGTTCGGGTATACTCTGCATACGTCTTGAATGTACATTGTATGACTGTTTCTTTTCTATATATTCAATTCCTCATTTGCAATACACTCTGTGTATCATAACTCCGAACATTCAGCGCACTCCAGAACGATAAAGGTATTAGATCGTTAACTGCTGTATGAATACAAAACGATACACGCAGACACGCAGGGATCGAACCCCGGATCTTCCGCTCTCCGGGCGGACGCTCTACCACTAGACCACGGAGGCGGTCTTTCTATATGTGAACACAAACGTCACTATCAGAAGTGTTTGGCAACTATTGAACTGCATGGCAAGTATTTATAAAACGACCGGGGGAGGAAATATTCTGGGGGAGATTTTATTTCGTAGGGTGGGGGAGAGTTTATTTCGAGAGTGGCGGTACTGTACCGGTATATATTCGCCGGGGGTAGATAAAATTCATGGGGCGAATATATTTCGTGACACCGGAAGTGAATCGACAAGTTCCTCACAGCGCAGCTCTATATACCGGGAGGGTAACCAGTGTGTACACAACTATGGGAGGTCACTCTATTTTAGTATATGAAACAAAATGTCGAAGCATCGAACGTTCATTGCCACTTCCACGTACTGCTACTGAACTTAATGCAAATGTGAGAAGCTTACCTTACCAACCGCGGCAATTGTGTATCCTGAATCGTAATTGATGTTGCTTAACAGTAATTAAAACAACTTTCAAACCATCTTTTGATTGGTATGACATCTTATAGCCGACATGGTGACTGGAAGAGTCGATCGTCTCTCCCGCTCCCCTCGCCTACACTTAACCGAATTTGATGTGATGTTCCTTACCGAATGAGGTTTGTGTTAAGGCTATCATGAACACGAATATTTCACACCTTGAGAGAACACTCATCAGCTATTGCAGTTATATTCATACGCCACCAACATACAAATGACGGTGTTTTTTAATGTTGAATTTAGAGAACGTTCAAAATTTACGTGAGCGTTTATGAATTAAGACACTCGTCCCATCAGAAACCGTGTTATATTACCACTCGTGTATTTCGCAAGCTGTCTAACCCTTTGGAATACACTCGTAATATAACCTGTATCTAAGGGGCACTCATTTTGTAATCGATCTGTGTACAACAGTTCTACTAATAAATAAGTATATATTAATTCTGGAGAAGCTATGTATTAACACACTTGCAAGTTGGTGCATGTGTTGTTATTTCCGATAAGGAAATCCGTGTATACTGCAATAATAATTACAGGAGGAAGCACTTTTTGTTTGCATACATTCTCGAAACACACATTGAGACCCAAAATATGCCCCAAGTTCCTTTGATGGTACACCGACACATCCTATAAATGTAGTAATGTAGTGGTGCTTGTTTGAAGTATGTACTTGCAGTACAAAACGGTGTACATGTACATGACAGGGATACATGAAGATTACTCGAAACAAATGTGACTTTATATCATTATAAGGGTAACGCAATTTTTCAGGGCATTATCATTATTCTTATAAGCCTGAGGTTTTCCATTAACTGCCCGACGAAGGCAGTTGAAAAGATATTTGCTTCAGCAAATGATCATGCCCTGAAAATAGCGTTACCGTTATTATAATTATATATTAAGGGACAGAATTTGTTATCAAATAAAAATAAACAACAATGTCGGTTTTGAACCATTTACTGCAATCAACACAGAACGAATGTCACTGACCAACATTTACAAATAAGGAAACGTTATAGAACAAATCAGATAACGTCACTATTAAACATCAATATGACGTCACCAACGGGCGTGATAATATGAGAGCATTATCAAGTTACAGTGGCCCGCTAATTTCTGATAACATGCGGTTTAATGACAATTCTATCCACTTTAGCTATAATTCAATGTCATTTACATGGATTATTGAGGAAGTGTTGTTATTCGCTAGCAATGTTCAATAGCATACTCAGGTCACTTTAAAACAGGAACTTAATAAGTCAGTCATCTTGCGTCGGACTTCCTGTATAAAGAGTATCATCTGTGATACATGTACAAGGCTACAACGACCGAAATAAACGCCAAGATATAATACATGTTGAGGGCCAAATGGAAGATGGCGACAGAGAGTAGAGTCGTCACCAACATGGCGCAGGAGATGATGAAGAGACGTGTGATGTTGCTGCCGTGCTTCATGATGGCCGACATTATCAGCCCGTTGAAGGCCTGGGGAGAGATGCAGTATTAATATTACGTATGTTTTAATATACACAGTGAAATATACATTGTGAAATGAATGAGGAGCGTTTTGCTGTCTGATTTGTTGCAAAACTTTAAATAGTTTTGATGCTCATTAGGACTTTTCACTGCGACAAGTATATGGTTTTCTGAATCCAACATTTTAAGAGATGTGTCATTCGGCGTGGACGAGTGGATGCCACGTTAAATGAATATCAAATTAAATCACTATTTACAAGGAGTGTGATATAGACAGTTTCTGATAATGTTTGGATGTTATAAGTCGATAAGGATCAATATTAATGCCGGGCATAAAATATTACTCGCAAAACATACAATGTTTATCTTATACACCTGCTGTTACAATTAAGAAACTGTAAGAAAATGGAATGTTAGGTAGCCCAGTTATTAAATTATTCGCGTGTCACCCGCGGGTTCGATTCACCACAGTGTTACAATGTATGAAGCTAATAGCGACACTAAAGTTAACTCAATTATTCATATCAATCATTCTGCAATAAGTGCTGTTTTATTTGGCCACATTCACAGTATCGATTTCTCAAGTTCTCGAGTTCTCGAGTTATATCACGTCGTGTCAGCTGCATATGTAGAGGAAACAGAAGTACTTGGCACGGGTCTTAGAAGTTGACCATTTTAGCGACAAACCAAGGGTCATAATCTGGGATGAAGACTCACGATCCTGGTACCCCTAAGGGATGCAACAAAGCTTGCCACTTCGAATAAATTGGTTTTGAAAAGCCTCCTCCTTTTCTTGATATCAGATGGTCACAATCTCTTATGAATATGAAGAACAACTTTCGTCTTCTACATGCAGTTCGGCAAAGACTCGTGTGTCATCACATTCAGAACTCATGATCTTTAGTCAATGTCAATAGAAATGGATTAGGATTTTAGGCCACTTTAACCTGCAATATCAAGGCGGATGACACCAGAAATGAACTGTACATATCATACCCATATCGAATCCGTGTTTCCACGTGACAAGCGAACGCGTTCCACCATAAGACTACCCAACTGATCTGACTCGACGAGAAGACAAAAAGCTCACCAAGGACACAACTATTACCCACGTCTTGAACGTAAAGCCTTCGAACAGATTCAAACGTCTCTCTGTAACAAAAACAAAATAATGATCGTACCAACAACTTCTCTGTGAGGTAGTTGAACACAGTACACAACCATGATATGTTCAATTCTATTATGGACTTATAATATATATGGTCTATTCTGAGATACGGTACAGTGAGTGAGTTGGTGTTTCAGCTTGATGTGGAGAAGACTCTGGTACTAACTACTTTGATGAAACTAACAAGCGCTGGTGAGGCATTGATAGCATCGAGTGTACCCACATCGCTGTATACACCTGACCACAGTGTCTCGAGGGAGGAGGCCAAGTAATTAGAGTGAGCACGAGACAACTTGATCCATGACAATCTCAGAATAATGGATTATATAGACCTTGTGTCTCATCTGCTTTGTTATTGGGACATTCATTCATGATGATAGAATATATGGAATGGTTTGAATTGTACCGTGAAAATAATACTAAGTGTATGAAGTAATCATTCTGAGGTTGATTGAAAAAGGCTAGAAAGCTAATGCTGCAAATACATATATGACTGATTCGATGTCAAGATCCTTGGCTTTACCACCAGGACCAATCCAGAAGACCATTGTTCTGGTGACGTCCTGTACGGGGATGGAACTGTCTACATATATGTATATACCATCCATATTAAGATTCCTGATCAGATGTTCCTCCTGTTACCAAACAAGATGATAAAAAATCTACACTCGAGCCTTCCGCCGAGTTGAAGAAGCTGCAGATAACCATGGACTACAATTTATGTCCGACACAATACAGGTACAGACAACTGTCCTATTATTTTAATAACCAGAAGGTGATTAGCAAGCCACATCCCAACATCTTTGAGATCGCCTGGCTCCTGCTGAGTTGAAGATGATTAAATACAGTCCTGGCTGGCGGCTCCCACCAAAGAAGGACCTCCAAAGGAAAATCAGCGGCTTGACATGGGCTATCCAGGTGGGATATTGACATATTACTTTTCCATGACAGGGCATCTCAAGGTAATAAATTATCCTGAATTTGTATTGTTGTTATCAATGTTGAATGAAGCCCCTCAGAATGTCTACTTCGTGTGAACTCACCGAGCACACCTTCCATCTCTGCTGTTGTTAAGGACTCTATGAATTATCAGATCTGGGGGTTCAATTGTCACAAAGAGATAAGTTTCGTCAGCACTATGCCATCATGCCGAAGTCAATATCGGCAATACTAAAACTGAATCCAATATTTGACTATTTAAACAGTGTAAACATATAATCCCTCTGACAACAGTGTTACATATCTATATGACGACTAAGGAGGGTCTGACCACACCGTTTTGGGTGTGTTTTTTGCTTACCCCCTTCCTTGCCGCTCACTGCCTCCTGCAAGGCCCACACTCCCCCGTTCAGGACGATGCCGAATGTGTACAACAGGGTATTCTGAACATGGAGGGATGTCTGGACAAGCATTTGGAGAAAAGATTAATTAACGTTGGAGTAAGCCCTGGCAAGATAGTCTCCTAGGAAATCTCATTAGGTTCTGAAACGTACTTTTACTTGTATGCTAACTCATAATTTTAGAGGTATATAAATATCAAGCAGTTTACATAACCCAGATTTCAAAGTGATAATGTCTCAATTTCACACACAGCATTCATTACAACAATGAGACCTTTTCTAGAAACAGACGCCATTTTATGAAACATATGTGACTGCATCGAAGACAGTGTTGGCCTCTTAATTAGTACAGAGGGACGTTCCGATTCAGGTGCTAGTACCTTTTTCCCCCAAGTGATCAACAACTGGATAGAACAAGATAATATAGGCACGATTATATATACACAGATAGTACCAAACACCCATACACACAATTGTTCTTTACCCTGTCGTTGATCACCTGAATTGATACAGGTACACCTTTTCCGAAAAGTTGTAAAAAGTTTAAATCCATTATCCAGCGGTCAGTGCCTCACCTCATATTGTTTCTTTAATATGTATTCCGTGTAGACACCGGCGAGGCCTGATATCCAACAGTAGGCGCACATCATGAGAAGCCCCGTAACTGTCAGGCGTATCTCTCCTGACGAGACAGAGGCCTTGTTCTGCATACCGCCATAGCTGGACAAAGAGACACAGCGATACATAAAACATCAGGTCTTCTTTTGGTGTGCATGCCATCATACTAAGACAAAGATTGACAGAGATATAGGACACATCAGGTCACCTCGTGAGAGAGATGCTGAAGAAAAAAGAAAACGCCTTCCATATCGCCATATACATCTAGGTGACACTTTACACATTAATGGTATTAGTAATGCATCCATTTGATGTGTCCTTCTTTGACGGTTGAATGGTGCAGCATTATTGGATTTTCATACACATTTATAAGCCCGCTTTTACAACCACTTTATCAAAGACATAAATCTTAAAACACTTTACGGAATATTTCTAAGTTAGGTGAAGTGTTGACCAACCTGTCTAAGATGCCGGATATGCTCAGAACTCCCAGGGATATCCACTGCACACTGCTCAGCTTCCTGCATCAACAAGTGAACTGTGTTTTACTTATCAGCAGTGGATTAGGTTGATAAGATCGCCAGCCCCAGATACTAGCTACATGTATACCATGCCCTGTTAGTCAGTTCCCTGTTTGTCGGGGCCGTCTAAGTCAGTATCCCGTTTCCCCAGTCCTATTAGTCAAGACATTATAAGTCAGTATGTTGCTCACCAAGCCACCTGTTGTCCCCTGTTAGTCATTTTTAAAGTCAGTATTTTGCGCACCCAATCTGCTATTTTGCCCTATGAGCCCTGATATTTTCAGTCAGCATTGATTCAACCAGCTGCTGCTGTGCACTATACAAGGGATATAAGCAGATGGTCTTCTATTGTCGCTAATTAGACGAGGCATAACCCACAATCATGTTTTTATGTAGCAAGTTTCACATTTTTTAGTGCACCGTTCATGTTCATTTCACAATTTTATTTCAGTAGCATATTGTTTCTGAACTCACAACGGAATGGGTTAGAGATGTATACTTAGCTTTATACAGTATGTAATGAACAAATGGGCAAGTATGTTTAGAACATCTCAGTGCGTAGGAGTTTCATAGTAAACGTTATTTATTACTCAAAACATTCCGAGTGCTGAAGCAGAACTTTCAGAAGCGCTCGTAAAATCAAAAGCAAAATTGTATCACCTCCTACCCATGTTGCATCGATGTTCATCGTAATTATCACACAATGCCGTAATGTAACGTTTGCAGGAGACTAAAATAAGGACACAGATACTTATACCAGTGATGGGACCTGAACCCTGCTGGTCAGGAACTCTTTCACTGGATGATGACAATACACCGATCCCGTCCCGATCGATAAGCCCCGCCCACAAGCTGCCGTCCTCGTTTTAGGAGTGAGGGGGGACAACCACTGGCTCTTCGCTATGGCGTCACAGCCGGCGAAACTTGATTGGGCGGGCGATATCAATCACTGGATTGTCTGGTCCAGACTCGATTATTTACAGTCCGCCGTCATATAGCTGGAACATTGCTGAGTGCGGCGTTAAACAACAAACCAACCAACCAACCAACCAACCAACCAACATATGCATGAAATAACATACATTTAAATGCAAATATACTATTAAAAAAACAGAAACGCAAAACGGATATTTTTGGCCCTAAAAGCAAAATAAGCGGACCAAGAGGTGCAAAATCAAGAGGTTTAATGTGTTATACTGTCAGTGACAGAGCAGCAGGTCTATGAGCAAGGCGTCCTGTTCGACGCGTGAGTCGACAACATCGTCAACAACGACTGCGTTGGTGTCGTCAACACAGGGTAAGGCCTCAACTGCGATGGAGGGATGTCTGGTTCAGCGACAAATCAAGATTTCTCCTCCGTCAAGGGGATGGAAGAGCACGGGTCTACAGACGATACATCAACGACATTCTCCTACCACACGTCCTCCCTTTTGCAGTCAACGGCAATAATGTATTCCAGCAGGACAACGCTCGACCGCATACAGCACTGATCACAAGATCCTATCTACACAACAAGAACGTTGATGTTCTACCCTCGCCCTCTAGATCTCCGGATTTGATCCCGATTAGAGGACCTGTGTAAAGAGTTTCATAGACGGCTACGCCGACGTTAACCACAACCTCAGACGTTGCAGCAGTTGGCTTTTGCGTTGCGTCAGGATTTGATTTGATTCGCATACTCGTTTCTTCCATGGGCAGGATATGTCAGGCCGCTATCGATTCCAACAGGGGACATACACGTTATTGATGGAAGCTGACCTCCACCCTGGACTTTTCCTATGTACCGATAACTGAGATGACTACAATCACCAAGTGTTCTCTCCACTACATTTTCGCTCAATACCTTGTAGGGTTCCTTGTATAAATGTATTTTCCTACCTCACACAAAACTAGATTTGCGTTTCTTTTTTTGAAGAGTATATCAGGAAGCTGGACACCTGAATTTCATTCGATATTCAACACACATCCCAAGTTTGCTTCACAAATACTAGTGTGAACATGACTTTTCCTTAAATGATAAAAATACACACAAACAGGGATTCAGACAAGTTCCTTTTCTAGGATACTGACTGTTCTAAGTTGTTCTAAAGTTTGGTAAAGTCCTATTGAAAGTTAAAAAAAACAGGATTAAAATGTCCCGAAGCCAGCAAAATCACTGTCAAGTAAATATGAACCTCATTTTCAACATAATGATAACCAAACCTTGAACAATATCTAAATAACCAACATCTTCAATAAACACTAGCTCTTGCTCAGTTATCAAATATTGACAATCTCCTCACATCATGGTAAAGTATTACATTTTGGTTTGAATACATTTCAATATTCATCACAGTAATATGACATGTATCACGCATTATATAAATTATTCTGTATCTGAATTGAACAGGCGCTCTTGATAATGCCTGATCAGGGTGTGACAAAGTGATACTGCCATTGTTTTTGTTCAAATTCTTTGTATCTTGAAATATGTTTGATGCGTTATTATATTGGTAATCACTTTGAACACTATCTTTTTAAAAAATATATCATTTAAAAAGAAATTATATAAAGAGCCAACAAGCTAAGTTTTATACCAGGTGGATGTTGTACCATGAATCATTTAGTGTTTGTTAGTTCTGCAACTAAATCATATTAATCTAACTTCGATAAGGCATCAATTAAATACTTGGTTGGAATAATTAATTGATTAGATTAAAATTTATATCATTACTTGACCATGTTACTTGACCATGTTTCTCTGAGTTCATAAATATCTTGCTATCATTTCTAGTAAATTAATTAAAACGACTTATAGTCGTTTTTAACAGTTGTATTATTTGACTAAAGAAGAAGAAGAGGTTTATTCGGTATCAAATGCCACATGGCCAAGAATACAATACATGAGATATATTTTTGCACATGGACAGGTGGGACAACTATTGTACTGTCTCAATACAATATTTGTGATGCATAATAGAGGCAGATTTTTTTTCAAATATATACTAGTTGATTGAATTTTCCTCGTGATGGATACTTGTAATAGGAACTTGGGGTGTAGAGCTTTCTGTTTTCGATATAATGGACAAACTTAAAGGAAATGGTATTCATTTTCAGTTATATTATCATTACATTTCTTGCCCTTAAGTAAATCAGTATTGACTTTGTCATTGTGTCGAAAGTGTGGAATACCCAACACCCATGGAATACCCAACTTATGGGTCAAACATCGGAATTTAAATAATATGCGGACAAGATCTTTGTTTCGACATAACTCCATAATATATTTCTCTGGGTCAAGTACAGACTTATATGAAGAATAATGGTTTAGTAATGACGAAGAAATAATTTTAGCATTCCAATTCTGAATCTCTATGTCTTTACAACTTTGCTTAAAACATTGTATTAAATTTGATATGCTGCCACACTCATGTGCGATCTAAACATACGTAGATCCAGTTTTTAATAGCAGCAAACGAACATGCGTTAACCACTTGTGGATGGCGTTTTCATTCTGTTATTTCAACAGGTCATACTATTCTTTTAGGTATCGATAACTATCTATATACAACGAGCTGCACCAATACTTTATACAGTGACTAAAATAATTAACATATAACTAGGTTCTACCTACTTCGCCTTGTACAGCGTTGGTTGATACTTTTTTATTTACTTATCAATGACGTTTAAAGTAAAAACTCTGGATTTTTTCAATAGTTTCACGAGAAGTGTACCCCCAAATTTCCGAACCATATAACAATATGGAAGCTATTTTACTGTCAAATATCTTAGATGCTACATCAAGAGAAATGTTTGGATAATCCTGTAATGAGGTAATAATTGGAAACGAAGCCTTTCTGGCTTGAAGTGCTAATCTTTCACACACGTTTGACCAAATTAATCTTGATGTGAAGACAATACCTAGATATTTATGATGGGATACTACTTTCATATGTTTACCATCATAAGTCCATTTTTCTGTAATTCTTAGGTATCCGCCATTTCTGAAAACAACAATACATGACTTCTCCAGGTTAACTTCAAGGCCCCATTTGTTTAAATAACCTTTTAACACATCAGGTTTCATTTCTTTGTAGGCCTATTACAGTGTCATCAATCAATGTTACGTCATCTGCAAATAATAACAGTATGATATCATTTAGTCCATCCCTGACAAAAACACAACTCAATCCATATTTCTTCCTTTCATCTACAAGCTCATTTATAAAAAGTATTAATAAAACATGACTTAACATACATCCCTGGCGTACTTCATATGATGTAAATATTTCAGTTTTCGAACTTCCGATTCTAACACCATCTGAGACCTTGTCATACATATCTTTTAGAATTCTAAACATTTCCCATGCACACCTTTCCTAAGAAGTACATAAACAGCTTATTTCTGTCAACAAATGCCTCACGAAAGTCTATGAAACCTGCTGCATAGAATCTGTGTTTTGGTTTTCTGAAATGCTTTTGACATAGAGATTGCAGGACAAATACATTATCAATTGTAGAATAGTCATGATGCTAAAATGTATATCAGAAAGCTTCCACGACCAGTGAATCACTTATGTTGTAAACAATTCCAAACCGATAATTTTCTTATATTTACTAAGCTTTTTTTATTTCAGTCTGTCAAAATATTTCAGTAATTCACGACATTTTCCTCTTCTTTCTAACCTAGAAGGGATGATTCCATTTCATAGAAATATCTTTTCATAGAAATGCTGAAATATTCAAAGAATGATTTAATGGGAATTAAATTAAAATATTTTGCAGGAACAAAAAACCGTTGACAATATATTGTTATTGATAATATTTTCAATATTATACTCGAGTAATTTGCAATATTAATAGATATAGGTTTATTGCGATGTTTGTGATTTAACTAAAATCATATCTAAAAATCTATAACAAAATAAATAATACCTGAGAGACAATTTCCACCACATTGTACTTTAATGTAACTAATGGTAGATTTCGATCTGCATCAACCGAAAACAGATCGCATTTAACTGATGGCGAGGCCTTCCGCGCACACCTTGATCAGCTTCAAACATTTTTCTCCCGACTTGTGGGTTTGGGTAAAGGCATACATCTAATCCAAGCGATACTTAATGGATATAGATAGGGAATATAGCACAAACCGTGGGCACGTCGCTTCTCGGGCATCATTTGACCCGGAAGTAAGTTTGACAAATCCGCAAGCGCGCCGGGCCTTCTGATTCGCTCAAACTGACGCATGCGCCAATTATGATTGACAGACTGGATCGGCAGTTCACATACATTGCAGCTGGTTATTCCAGGACACCTTACGTTCCATTCATTTGCAATAAAATGTTAAGTACTGAAACTATTAAAGTAAGATGGCCTGATTTTGTCCCAGTTTACTAACCGTTGCATTATGATCCTGTACAAGATTGCCGTGCTTGCCACCTTCATGTTGCCCAAGATCTGCGAAAAATTATTTGTAAACTATGTTTGTGTCTTCACCTTGTAACATGAACCGAAGCCCAAATTTACCCAGTATTGAAATATTACGACAGTTTGCATAATTCGTTGTGAAGGAAAGAAAATTTGTGGATAGCGTTGGTGTGTAAGCGTGTGAGATCTCACGCTGCCTTCAGCAATATTCTACACGTATCATGGCAAGATCACTTAAAATGGACTTGGTACATTGGACCTATTTGGGGAATTATTCCGGGTTTTGTGCGTGACGAGCGAACGCTTTAACCACAGGACTCCCCTATGACAAAATGACACAGTGTGGCATGCCTGGTAGCTAGCCCTGGACGATGGTTTATAACCAAGATTGGAACACAGGCTGTCGATGGCGGTAAGCTGTAACATTACCTGGTAGGTGGTGGGGTCCATCTGAACCTGCATGTAAACACTGAGGTTGTTGTTGATACAGTACAGCACGGCTGGAACAACGAATGGGATACAGTTGGACAGTGGCGGCATTTTGATGTCACCTCGACCCAGTTCGGGCAACATCATTGCTATGGACAAGACAATCTACAACACAAATAATACATGGATGTAAGTAAGACTGCTTGACCACGGTATATGGATCTGTACCGAAACGTCGCCTTTAAAAATAATAATGAAGTTGTTATCCATTAATTGTGTCTACTTTGTCATCCGTCAACTTCTAAGTAATGCCTATCAAACAATTCATTATCTGTCATGGAAGTATATTGTTATAATTACAATATGTAAGGTTGAAAACAATAAAATAGAGTATTGTGCAACGACTCTTAAACAAACTTTGAGGACCTCCGTGGAGAAGACAACGGACGACGACCTGAACGGCAGTGTCCCCTCCACTAGACACAGATGCGCCAGGATAGTGTACGAGCTGTAGATGAACACCCTGGAACACAAACCAATGTAGATCCATTATCATTTCGTATTTCTTGAAAAAAGTGTTTGACAGTCAACTTTAGCATTTAGTCGTATATACGTCCTTATCTCGAATTGTCTTCCTTATATAACACTCCCCTTCTTCACTTTGGCCGCACTTTGGCCGCACAAAACTATTGAACAGTCGCCTCTAAGTAATCGAGTCTATACCCGACAAGCTTGTGATTGATATTTCGAGCAACGTCCCACACCGTTGGAGTATGATGAGTCACCGAATCCAACAACATGATCCAATAAATCGAATCTTCCGGCAAGCATATGTTACTGGAGGTCTTTTCTATCCCGCAATCCCAACAATTATTTAACAATTATATACTGAACCGCTAAAAAAACGTCACCCCAAGTAACATTGCATGAAAACTACCTTGTCCGGAAAAATGAAATTTGATGGTAAACAAACATAGCAGATGACAATAAAACCGATCGCCCTAACGCATTACGGCAACGGACATGGTAAACCGGTGCACGTTAGTTCCATGCAAATTGAAATGCACGTGTGTTCCCCCATTTCTTGCCCTATAAAAATCCACCCAGATCGGATAACATTCATTCGTTATTGAATTGTTACCACATGCCAAGATTTGACAAGAAATCAGCGACACCAAGCCCTAGGACGATTGCAAGCTGGACAAACCGCCAAGCAAGTAGCCAATGCATTTCAAGTCCACAATGTACAGGCTCCAGCAACGGTACCAGACAACCAATACTACAGATGACCGACCACGTAGTGGAAGACCAAAGGTCACCGCCACCCGACGTCGTGATCGTCAGATTGTGCGACAACATCTTCAAGATTGCTTTGTTACTGCTGTGGAAACTGCTCGACAGACCATGGGGACACACCAGCGACAAATTAGTGTGGACACCGTGCGTCGACGATTGACGAGCAGACACTTCCTCTGTCACAGGACACACCGAGGACTCATACTGACACCACGTCATCGCCGGGGCCGTCTTCAGTGGGCAACACAGCACCAGCCATACCTCATTTGGCACGTCGCCACAACCACGAGTTTCAGCATAATAACGCCCGTGCCCACATTGCGAGAGCAACAAGAGACTTCCTCCAGCAGAATGGCAACAAAACCATGCAGTGGCCTACTCTCACTCCCATTAAATCCCATTGAGCACCTGTGGGACGAGATTAAAAGGAGGCTGAATGACGTCCGACCAAGGCCGACAACTGAAACTGAACTGCGTCAGGCGTTCCTCAGAGTGTAGGCTCAAGTGCCTATGGCCTTCATTAACCGCCTCATCCATTCCATGTATCGACGTTGCACGGCAGTCATCAATGCACATGGCGGACACACGAGATACTGACTTGTGATGCCATTTCTCAGAGACAAGTGTTGTGTTTCACTTTAAGAACATTTGACACTTTAATTTCAACCTCGATGATCAGTTTTGCCAAGTTTCATCTTTTTAATATGTCTCAAAGTATATTTACAGTGTTTGGACAAATAAGGATTCTCATATATCTATCCATGGTGACGTTTCTTTGCGGTTCAGTATATATTCACAATATTATGTTTTTGGAGAGCTGTTTCGTTTGTTCGTAAGGTTTCGTTTATTTGGTTCTATATGTTCTTTGACCAAAGAAATGTGTCATTTACTTGTTGCTATTGTTTTGCTATATTGGTCTTTTTGTCTTTGTAATATTTGTTATGAATCGATTTATCCTGACAAATCACTCAATGAGTGAGTGAATGTTTTAAGGTCACAGTCAGTAATATCATTAAAAAGGTAATATATGAGTTCTTCTACAAACTAAACAGCGATAGCAATAGCTGAGTTATGGCCTGAAATAGGTTTTCTAATATGGATATGATAATGAAAATCCGATTCAAATCTTTTGAAAAGATTTTTGTGTCATAATTGGTTGGAACAAGCATGTGAAGTTCGAGTTTTATTGTTTGAGTGATTTCTAAGAAGGGATGTAAGGCCCATCACTGCCAACTGATGACTTTCAGCCAGGTGAGCTAAAACTGTCGCCATTCAGAACGGCCGAGTAATCGAGTCTAGACCAGATGGTTGATATTATGAGCAACGTCCCACACCGTCGGTGTACGATGACACGAAATCAACCAGATCACCGAATCCTTCAACCTGATCCAAATCTACTCCCACGGTAAGCATATGTCGCTGGAGGTGCTTTAGGACCGGGATTCCAAACAGCGTCTGTGTTTGAACCCAAAGAGTTCCTGCTACAACTCACTAATAAGTGTTCAGATGATCAGTGAACCAATAACTTGATTCACAATGATATTTTAACGTCTAGTTTATTTTGTGGATGCTGTTTGTTCGTTATTAATTAGTTTTTATTGGATTATTTGGATTGTGTATATGGTTATTGTTTTGTTGTGGTGTTTTTCTCTTTGTTATGTTTTATTCTGAATGTATTAAGATTGATACATTGCTCCCTGAGTGAGCAAATGTTTCAAGGTCACAGTCAGTGTTATCGTTAAAAAGGTAATGTATACTCAACAACACAAGTTCCTGTGACACCAATATTTTGGTGTATTTTTCAAACAAGTAAAGTTTGGTTTTCAATATTGTAGTACATGTATGGAATCAAGTCACCAAAACGCAACTGCTACAGAAAAGCATGCATTCCATGCAAAAGTTGACTTTTATGCAACCCCTGTGCATTTCACTTCCCAAGAATGGGTAAAAAAACATGTGCTTTAACGGAATTCCATATGCATTGATTAGCTTCGTGATGACAACAACCATTCAGAAAAACAACAAAATTACGCAATTATTCACCATTACGAAATGCCACGCCTGTCCGGAAATAAGCGTCCTCGAGCCATTGGTATGCTTGAAGCAACATGATGTTGCAAGACAATTTAACGTCCACAGAAACACCATTTGGTGTTTATGGTAACGTTGGCAACAAACGAATGCAGTCAGAGATCATCCTCGGAGTGGCAGGCCACGCGTAACCAATAATCGACAAGACAACTGGATTCGAACAACACACCTACGAAATCCATTTCAGCCAGCAACAGTGACTGCAAGAAGCATTCCTGGGCTTCGACGAATATCTTCACAAACCGTACGCCGCCGCCTGAGATGTGCAGGGATTGTCGACAGAGGACCCAGCAGACGTCCCATTTTGACAGGAAACCACCGTCAAGCACGTCTATAGTGGTGCAGATAGCTCTTTCCCCGTGTGAACCGGGGCAGAATGTGTCCACAGCACCCCATTGCTGGTCGTAAAAGGCGACCGAATTGGGCAACATGTTTGCCGTGGGTTGCGTCCCTGTGTTCGTGGAGGAAGGGATTCTGATGGTTGATGGCACTCGAGCCAGGAACAGGTGTTCATTTTGCAAAACACACCACTTTGACCCTAAGATCAACTAGACAGGTGGTATCAATCGACTGGTCACGCCATGCCCTGTGCATGGTAAACCTGTATTTAGAAATATCAAAGAAAATAAATAAAATGTCATAAAATATGGTAACGTTATTCATGCAAATTTATATTTTGCCAAGAGTCCTATGCCAGAAGGCGGTGGCTCATGGGCCAATCTGGGGATATGGACCGCTGAATTCTGTGTTTGTACAGGAAAAAGCCATGGGCCAAACCAGCCTGACATTTGTCCTTTTATTAACAACAGCTTTTCATGTCTTTATTTCTGGAGTATAACATCCCTGTAACCCTGGTGTTGCTGTCTGGTTTCAAACTGTGGCACTGTCCTTGTTGACACTCGATGGCGGGTGGGGAGCAGGGATGCTGAAGTATTTTCTTACAACATGGCTTTCAATCCTCATTCTGGTTCATCTAAAACAAACAAACGCAGGCATGTAGATTCTCCTTCTTCTGATGAAGATGTCCCTTCACAGGTAACAAGTAACACAGGTTCTCTGATGAACTGAACAAAATAGCTGATGAATGTATCCCCAAGTCCTCTGCAAATCCACACATTCGTAAACCATGTTCTAATGATAACTGCAAGCAAGCAAGAAAGGCACATAAGAAAGCTGAACATTATTTCCGTCGCCATCCTTTGGTGCATAATTTAAATAAATTCTAAATTCTAAATGCTAAAGCACGGCGTACATTTGAGCAAAATAAACGTAGAAGGTCAGTCTATCCTCTCTAACAGAGAGTCTATCATCATCTACAACTCAGCCTCAGTCATCAGAACCAGACAAATTACACAAAATTGAAAATGTTCAGGGTGAAGCCTATTTGTAAAAAAAAAACAGACAAAAAAGTAATTGTGGAGAAGAGATAAGGCACTTCAACACTTGGGGGTACCTTCTCCTTCAAATACCCCTGTTGAGATTCATAACACCTTTGAACCTCTAGCGATGGATGTTGTTCCCTCAGTCCCTGTCCATGGGAAAGGGTCTTTCTCTCGCTCACGATCTCCAGTTGAGCCAACATGAACGGCTCTAATAAAATAATTCAGCGGAATTGCAGAGGGCTAAGAATAATTTTAATGATTTACAGTTATTAATACAAGATTTTAAACCATCAGCATTTTGTTTACAGGAAACGTATTTTAAAGATACCGCTCAACTCTAGATATGACAATATAATTCATATAATTACTTCTCTCCTCCAGGACCTAGAGCCACGGGAGGATCTTCAGTATTGGTGAGGCAGGGTGTTATACATAGCCCTGTTCCTCTAAATACACCCCTTCAAGCGGTTGCTGTCCAGTTAACTCTAAACATTGTATTTACATTACGCTTCCATTTATGTTCCTCCATCTTCTCCTCTTCAACAAACTGACCTTCAAGCACTTTATGACCAGCTCCCCAAGCCCTGTATCATTATGGGCGTCTTTAATTGACCTAATCCACTTTGGGGAAGTGCTGACTCAAACCGGAAAGGGAAGAATCTAGTAGATTTCATTTCCGATGACGCTTAATGCGTTTTTAATGATAACTCTAGCACCTATTAACGTCCAGGTACATGCACCTTTTCCTCCCTTG